AGAGAGTTGGATCATGAAGTATTTATGGAGCAACCCCAAGGTTTTGTCTCTAAGCAATTTCCACATCATGTATGCCATTTAAAGAAAGCACTTTATGGCCTAAAACAAGCACTGAATGCTTGGTATGGTAAAGTTGCTCACTATCTCATCTTTTGTGGCTTTAAAGTTTTTAATTCAAATTCTAGTTTGTTCATAAAATTAGAATCAAATATGCATCTACTGGTATCATTATATCTCAATCTTCACTTACAGATCTATATAAAATTATTTGTTTAATATAAAAATATTTTTTAACATTAAATGTTTTAAATTTCTAATTATTTTATTTTATTTTCTTTAAATTTTAGGTAAACGCCAATCTAGCTAAGACATTTGTACCAAAACAATCTTGGCTTTAATAAGGGCTATCATCATTTAGAGATATTTATTTTTTAAAACTACAAGAACAATGACACAAGTACATTTGTATAAAAAAAACATATTTTTTTATCACCAAATGACACTTATATATGTTTTTGGCAAATTGTCCGTTTTATAAAAAAGTGGTCAATATTTGATAGAAAGTGTTCATTGATTACTAAAGTGTCTGTTATTGATATACAAATGAAACTTGCATCCCTTTTTTTTTTTTTTTTTTTAGTTTTTAAAAAATTTTCATCAATTGATAATAACTCTTTTAATAAATAAATCATACAAAATAAATTTAAAGAATAAAAATGCGAATTTTGAAACTGTGGCATTGGAGGATTTTTAATGATTCTAAAAACTAAGAAATCATGAAAATCTTATTTTTGATTCAAATATATCTTAACGATGTAAGATAAAATTAATGTGACCTATTAAATGTAAATATATTATGGTTTATATATAAATTGAACATTTTTTAATTACTATTTCAATAGTTATAACATTGATGAACGTGTATTTGAGGATTTATTTCCTAGAACTTGGTCCTCTCTTGCCTATTAAAGAAGTCGAACCGTATTTCTCCATCAATTAAAAGGTCAAAAGTGGTGGAAAATTAAATAGAGGAAAGGAGGGAAAGGAGAGAAACCAATATTCTTCCCACAGAAATCATCATTAACTATATCAATGGCTCAGTATGTCTTTTCTGATTAACTGTCTATTATTGTTTTATAGCATATAAAGGTCTGTTTGGTTCATTATTCTGATAGTTTTTAGAATAATCTTTTGAAAAAAAATTAAATTGGGCGGGTATTACGATGTAGGATTTGGAAATTAAAAAAAATATCCCCTATGTTTGTTTATTTACTAAACACCACTATATAATATTAAAAGTTACAAAAACACCCCCAACCCACCCATTAAATACAACCCCGGCCACCACTACCGAGGGTGGTTGGAGTGTTTTTGCAATTTCTAAAAAAAATATTTGGGGGTGTTTATTTAAATTAACAAATTTAGGAGGTTTAAAAAAATTAAAAAAATAGAATAATATTTTGGGAATAATGACATTTTACTGTTTAACTTTTTTGGGAATACTAATAATAGTATCCCAAAAGCGAAACAAACGAAGCCTAAAATTCTTGAAATTCAAGATCCTGCAAATTAATGTTTCATGTAAACATATTTCATGTGGTATCAGAGCAAGATTAGAATTCATGAATTTCTCTATTAACACAGTAATGAGAATTTAATTAATAATTAAGCATTCAAGTTTAATTGCCACTATGATAATATGTTTTTTCGCATGATTTTTTATGATTATAATTGAGTATATATATATATATATATTAATATATATAATATATTATATATATGTATGTATGTATGTTTTATTTGTTAAGGCCCTACAATAATGATTGAATGGTTAAGATATTATTGTACCTCATTGTAAAAATTTCCCAATGGCCACTTGGTCTTAAAGACCCATTTACACCCAACTCTTTTACAATTTCAGACAATGCAACAAGGTCAGAGACTTCATTGTAATCCATTGATTTGACCTCTTCTTTCATGGCATCTAACCATTTAGTAGAATTAGCACTTTCCAGGACTTATGAAAACGAAACTAGATCTTCATCAATTCCTACGTCAAATTCAGACTCTTGTAGATAAACTACATATTCATCAGAAATATCATATCTCCTTTGCCTTTGAGATCTTCTTAATGCCACTTCATATGGTTCACCCAATATAGATTCATTGGTGGTAACCTCATGACGGAGTGTTTGGTCATTTATTTGTTGTTCTTGTATGTTGTTAGACCATTCAACAACTATAGGAACAACAACATGAGTAGAAGTTGTAGGTAAAGGAATTTGTACCCTAACTTCTTCAATTTTCACTTTACGTTGTTCCATTGATAGGAACCTAAATATTTCAACTAGAACAAACTCAACACACACGGAGAACAAGCTTAAACACTAAATAATTCACTGATATTTGTATTAATAATCTACAGTAATTGATATTCCAGAACTAAGAACAATAATGGAAAAATTAAGAAGGAACATAATGAAAGAAGAATGAAGAAAGAAAAAAAGATAGCACTAGCACTTCGAGGAGCTAGGGGCCTCCCAATACAACTCTATGAATTCCACGATACCCTGTACACATTTTATTCCCCTCTTATACCCAACTACCATAACAAACTATTCTGCTAATCTGGTGTCATAACAAACTATTCTGCTTATCAGGTGCCACGTAGATATTCTTTTTAAACAACTCGCATCCAGCCTACTAATCCACTTTATTCTTCTTCATGTACACTTTGGTGCTAGGCTGTGTAATTCCCCTGATACCCTCCTTTGAACCTCATGGGTTGTTTAGTGTCCTATCATCCATACTCCCACTAATTTCATCATTTTCAATGAGTCTAGTATTCCTAGTTTCAACAATTCTTGTAATATGGCTAGGACAGTCAAATCTATACCCTTTAGATTTTTCTAGATAACCAATGAAGAACCCACGGGTTGTTGTTGAGTCTAGTTTCTTTTTGTGTGGATTATAAATTTTTATTTCCGCTAGGCAACCCCAAACATACTCTTGGAAGCTCTAACCACCCCAACCGACTATAAATATCGAGGTCGATTCTTTTAGAAGGACCTCGAAACATACTTTTGACTTCACTTTTACACTACAAAGTTCATTCCTCTCACTCTCAATCTCTCGTACTACCGTCATTTATCACCGTAAAGCCGAGTTTTGACCACTTTATGACTATTGTTGTGCCACCGCTCCACAGTCGCAGTGACTTTTACCATCTCTATTTCATTATTTGCTCTACTCAACTGTCTTACACTTGTGCTAACTTGACCATTAGAGTCCCTTAGGTCGGCACTACCCATGTGTAAATAACTTGACATTCATCCTTCATTTCTCTGTGTCATTGCTTATAGGTCTAACAGATTGTCGATGGCCACATCCTCACAAGGATCAACTATAGAATTCCAATTATCTACAATAAGAGACTTGGAAAATATTTCATAGGATGCATTAAATAATGAAAACTAGTATGGGTGGTAAGATTAATTGGATAACAAGTTGTAAGCTTGAAACAATGTCGTTTTAATTAAAATTAGAATGACATCGTTTTGTTTTGATCTAAAGAGGATGGGATTAAATTCCTAACTCTATTCAACTATCTCATTCACGTTTATAAACCCATTTTTCGACATTTGAAAATCTTTTTCCACCATTTGTCCAAGCTTGATGACGAGGTTTTTAATGTGGTGGTGGTTCAATGTAGCAACGTTTTTGGGTTGCATATCCTTCGAGTGTTGTTCAAAGCAAACCATTAGGATTACAACACCAACAACTTCTCTTTGAACATTCCAACAGGTATGTTTTATAATTTCTAATTACTACACAAGCTACTTNGTCTAAATGAAATTTAAAAAATGAAATTTAAATTTCTTCTTAATATTTCTTATAGGAGTTGAAGAATTTATTTTCGAGAAATTTTACACAAAATATCTCACCATATCACCGTACGGACATGGTGAGATCATATAATTACAATTAGCTATATGTTAACATCTAAAGGTGAAAAAAAAAAAAAAGAATCTTATGTAAATTTTTTTCTCCATTCACTTGTCAATTTGTAAATATTTAAGGAGGGTCTTAAGAAGATGTTGGCCCAATAAAGGATGATAATGAGATATATAGTGTTAATAAGTGCTTTAAAACCCGACCCGACCCGACCCGACCCGAATGGTTCAACCGACTTTTATCAGGTCGGTTACCCATTTCACTATTCACCAAAAACCCTAAAAATGGGAATGATGGTCGACGAACAATTGAAGGCTAAAATATTAGGGATTTTGAAGAGAAAGTGACAGTGAGTGCAATGATGGTGATGGAGGTGATTTCCGATGAACGAATAAACCAGAAAAAAAAAAAAAAAAACCAACGACAGCAACAACCATCTTTTGCCGATGATTGGTGAGACGAACAAGGGTGGGGTGAAATTAGTTTTAGTCATGAGATTGAAGAGAGTATTTTCATAGTGATGGGGAGGGTTATTGACACTGCGGTTGTGAGAACTAGCCTGAAATGTCAACGTAGGCGTCGATGAGATCTGACTAAAATCGACAGATCTTCAATAGATTTGTTGAGAAATAGGCTCAAAGAATGATTGAGATTGCATTTAGTGTGTCGCCACCGCCAACCAATTAACCGCCGATTTGCATTTAGGATATGTTTGCTAAATTTTAAACTTGTAAGAACTTAACTAATTTTTAAGGGTGTATTTGCTAAAATTTAAACTTTTTATCACCCAGTTTAACCAACCAATCAAACCGGTTAATCCGATCAACCTAAAACCCAACAACTTTGCCAGGTTTCACCTCAAATTGGTTATTAAAACATTGGTGTTAATTATTGCCGCCTGATTAATGTTCAATGGGATTACAATAACACTGACCAACAGGAATCCACCATAACAAGCACTGGAGACTTGACGCGAATCAAGTTAAGTGTTAACAATGGTATTTATTCCAATATACAAGAGTTTTAAGTCGTATGATTCCACGAGGCTTAAGTTTAATTTCAGTGTTAAAGTGAGAAAAGATTATCACAATAAATATTAATATATAAATGAAATACATATTTTACCAATCTACATCCAGTGCACTTGAAAGAGGAGTTTGTGAAGATAAAATCCATGTTTTACCAATCTATACCCAACTCTCGTGAAATGAAGAGTTTGTCGACGTACACAATGACTGGAGCAGATGCAGTAATGTAATTCTGCATTTGAATCCTCGCTGACGCCTCTGAAGAAAAAAAAAATAAAAAAACATAACCAAAGTTGTACCATTAACATAACACAAAAAGATAAGCCCCTTCTTTTACCTTACTTTTTTTTTCTTTAAAGTAGGCATCTATGACTTGAGCAAAACTTGGTTGGCATTGTGCAATTTCAGACCCATCCAACGAAAACAAGGATTTAAAGGCATCGCCATGAACATCCCAATAAAACATTTCAAAGTCGCATGTTATTGGGAGAACCTAGTCCAGGACTGAAGATACCAATTCCTATTGTTGATAGATATTGTTTTGATGTCAATGGTAAAGACTTTTCATCTAAACAAGCCAGCTCTTACTAAAGCTCATCCCCAGTCAAAAGTTGAATTGTACAGGCAAAGCTTTAGCTTGAACCAACAAACCCCATGCCTATTGGGAGTGTATTATGTAAAATTGTGAACATGGCACGTCCAAAGCCACATTTTTTTTTTCTTTATTTTTTTTTCTCTTTAATAATTAAAGGAAAGGTTGATGAAAACCCTTGTATATCAAAGATATAATTATTAACAAAAGGAAAAAGAAAATTTTAAAAAGGGAAGGGGTTGGAATACAATATCAGCATTTCATTCTATATATATTTGACAACAGAAAGAAAGAAACTAATGGATCACAGGGGGAAGCACTCACCATCTTCATTGAGCTTTTTTAACAGTTGTGCTTTGGTTGGAAGGGCATACATCCCTGCAGCAACAGCTTTCCTTATAGCCCATCCATGATGGGGAGCAAATACTTGTGCATACGCTTTGGAAGCTGGATCTTTTAAGGAATTGCCCCTACATAAGGAAATCAAATAGTTTTAGCCAGTTAATACCAACTTCACATTCAAATGCTTACATTTGAAATAATACTTGTATAACTTGTAGCCATAAACAAATACTTATTTACATCCTGATACTTAACTATGACTTAGTTCGGGAGTTGAATAACTCATCAGGACAAACTAATTTATAAAGGTTAAGGCAATTTTGTAGCGCACATCGTTTGAACCACACCAAGCAGTTTTTTTTTCTTTTTTAAGAACTGGATCGAAAATTCATAATTGAAAAGATTTACAAAAAGTGAACAAGCTGTTCACAGATAGACTAGACAAAGCTATGTTAAAGAGGCTCAAAAGAATCAAAAGGCTTGAGACAACCCAGAAGGACATTTAACAGGGTCCTGAAGTCAACAAATATAAAACAAAATGTCTATCAAGTCATTCACCTCCCAAACAATGATGGAAGAGTAAAAAAGCCACATCTCGGGACTTAAAAAACACGTAACCCTATAAAGAGGTCCAGAACTTAATTTCGTCCCATAGAGACTAACATCCTCTATTCTTCTCTTCAAAAATACTTTTGCTTGTTTCTAGCCAAATAAACCAAAAAAATTTCCATAATAGCATGACCCCAATGAACTTTAGCTTTCTTACATCCCCTGTGAGAGCTTGAGATCTTTCCAAGAAAACAGAACAGCTAGAGGGAAAGGCTACCCAGCAGAGACTAAAAACAAAAAACAAATTCATTCACAACTGAAGAGTAACAGGACATTGCATAAAAAAAGTGGTCTAAACAAAGCCAGAATCTTCAATTTACAGAGGGCTTTGGCTTTCCAAATCAAAGTAGAAGCTTCAAAAGGGAAAATCTAGGAACTTCAGGAAAAAAAGAGACATAGCATTCAATGCTATGATGAGCCTTTTTCTCGTGTACCCTCAATTTATCTGCATTGAATCATATGCAGTTTTATCCTTCTTGATCACCACAATCATCCATCTCAATATCCACGTTAGATGATGCTCATTTCAAATATTAATGCTATATTTAGAATCCCCAGCAAACTAATAAAAGATTGCTCATCTTACAGTGCTATAGATAATTGCCAAATAGGCAACTTAATTTGATAATTAAATCCCACATAAAGTTACAATCTCAAAGTCAAACTCAACATTGACAAGCAACATAAACACAGGAAACTCATGACAAACCAACCTACCAGACACATCTGAAAAATCATCTTTAATTCTATTGAGGAAATCAAATACTACACCCACAAATTCCAACTCAATAGTTGTAAACCATATCCACAAATATAAGACAGTAGAACATCTCTGCCCTAGACTTGAACCTTAATGATAAAAATAGTTCTCACCAAATTCTATGTTATTAACAATTCCATAGAAAATGAAAGAGGCCTGCTTGGACTAACATCATCTTCCACAATGTTTCCTCTTTAGTAAACTACTTAAGGACCAACTAGTTTGATAAAAAAATCAACCACTAAGGCACACTACATCTAAGTAACATATATATGCATACCATAATTGATATGTTAGCACCCAAAGTTTGCTTTATTTTTCATTTCCTCCCCACTAGATTTGAGCAAATACCCAATCCCGTTGACAGCCTACTCCAGGTTATTTCTTGACAAACATTTTCAAACATTCCCTATTTTCTAATTAAAGGAATATAGGGCCACATTTGATTGTGTTTTTATAAATGATTTTCCACTTTTTGTCCTTGAAATCATGAAATACACGTTCATCATGCATTTCCATTTTGTCAAAAATGACAAATGAAAAATCTCAATCCAAGGGGACCTTTAAGGTTTAAATCACGTGGTTTATATTATTTTTCCACCAAGAATGATACCACCTTTTCGATAAGCAAAATGATTCTTTATTTAACTAGCAATTAACCTAGGATAGATAAACAGATTAGGCAATATGTTCTTTTTGGATAAAGCTATATGTCCCTTTTTGGATAAAGCTATAGGATCTTGTGTTAAGTCATATGTCCTTGTTGGATAACGCTGCTATATGTCCTCAGGTAAGTTATATCTTTTTTGGAAAAACTATATGTCCTAGAATCATTTTCCTTGATAGAAAAGCTAATCTTCTTCATAGACAAGTAATATGCTTCCATAGGTTCTTTTTCTATAAAGCTATACATCCCTTTTTGGATAAAGCTATATGTCATCTTCGGATAGAATCATATGACCTTGGTTAATGCTCTATGTACTTAGATAAGTCATATATCTTTTTTGGATAAAACTATGTCCTAGAATCATTTTCCTTGATAGAAAAGGAAAGGTTCTTACTGGTAGACAAGTAATATGTTTCCTTAATGAACAAGGAATACTTCTCCTTGATAGACATGAAAAATAAACCACGTTAAATAATTTTTGAAGATACCCCAGGACCATCTCTATGACCAAAATACATATTTCCCTTTTTTAACACAATGATTCTCTCCCTTTCTTGAATTTCTCTCTACTTTCTTTCTCTCTCACCCAAACCAATTCACCTTGTTATTTTATTTTCTCTTCACAATCTGTTCTTCATTATCTCTTCTCTTCATAGATTTTCTACATGATTTTTAACCATGAAAATCATTTTTACAAACAGGACCTAAAACTCTATATGTAGTGCACATAATGCCAAAACCTAACAGCTCTAAGCCACTCCCCTTCTCTAAAATGTATATTCTCTTTGATTATACCATCCAACATAAATGTTTCAGCTCTGTAACCATACAGATTTTATTTTTCTTCTTCGTCTACCTTATTTTCTCTTCTTCCCAAGAGTGGAAGATAGAGTTCATCCGAACCGAACGATAGTCACTTACCTATCAAAATTAGCATTTTCCAGATTGAATGTTAGTATCATCCAATTTACCTTCAAATGCATATAACTCCATTAATGGAACCCACAATGAAGTGGAAGCCCCACTCACGTTAGAGTTAAATTAGTCCAGAAGAGGAAATTCATGCATTTGAAGACTACATGCTATAAAGCAAAGATACTCAATTCAAATCCCGGCAAATAATTAAAAAAAGTACATATATATACAAAGAGGAAAAGAAGAATCCACAAAACCTATTAATTCCCAGGTCTAATATCAAAAGCCAAAAAACAACCTTGCTAGAGGAAGCATAAAGGTGGTTTAGATCACAAGTTCAAAAGAGCCTAAAGATAAAAAAACATTCTTGTAATGACTTAACTAAATTACCATTGTCCATGACACAGAAAGCAATGCATGCCTCTGCGTCCATCCAATATAAACTAAAAATCACCGAATCATAAAATGAAGAGGCAATTAAAGTAAACTAACCTGATCAAGAAATGGAAAAGTATAAACAATCAATAGATTTGATTTTGATATACATACTCTGTAGCTATGATTTGTTCAAAAAGAACCCTAACCATGTCGAGTCCACGCTTCACCCTCAAAAGATTTCTAGTGTGACTACCAGCTTTCCGCACACAGTTTCCCTTTATATCATGATCAAGCAAAGCTTGCAATGTCATTATCGACTTTGATGCCACTGCAAGATCATCAACCTGATATGTTGCTCAATCGATCAATCAAACCACTCAAACATAAGAATTGCATTAAATAATAATCATTGAACAAAATATGTTCCCAACAACACATTCAATAAGTAACCAAGGAAATAAAAAAATTAACAAAAACAATAATATAAATAAGCCGCACTAAAAATCCAATCCAGTAACACAATTTATACTCTTACACAACCGTACATGATACAAAATTCCAGTAAGGACAATGTCATATTTATGATTTACTTCACAATAATAACATTCAACTTCAAATTAACAACCAGATATGGTTACAGTAACAATACCGGCAAAAGAGTTAGGGTGTGGATTAACCTTGGCGACGTAATCCATTTCGGCGAACTTGAAGGCGATTCCTAGGCAGCCAAAGAGAGGAGAGACGAGAGAAGAGGCGTGAGAGAATGGCGCCACCTCGACATCGGCGGTCTGTGAATTGACGGTGGCGGCCAGTTCATTGAATGCTTCTGCTATTTTTCTGAGCGGTTTATCGGTGTTTGATTTCGCCATTGTCGACTTTAGATCTCCCTCTGTCTCTCGCTCTTTCCTTCCTCTTTTATTCTTTCTTCCTCTTTTCTACGCGTCCAATTTAATTTTGTGCTGGAATGTTCTTTCTTTGCTTCAGATTGACGCATATATTTTCTTATTTAAAAAATAACATAAAAAACTAGGGGTGTTCAAAAAAATCGATTGAAACCAGAATCAGTAGGTATTCAGGGTTTGGTTCTGATTTCTATTCAGAACTGATCGTCAATGGGTAGGTTCTGGTTCCAAATTTTTGGAACAGTTACTGTGCAGTTCCGATTCCTATAGTTAGGAACCGGAATCGGAACCAGGAACCGAGACTAATATAAAATAAAATTAAAGAGTAGGGAATTAATAAAAACCTTTGTAGAAAAAATAATGTGAATACATTTATATTTATATTTTATAATATTTAAATTAAGTTGGTTTGACTTTTAAGAATCTACCTTTACATAGTAATGGAATTTGTAATTTGTAATTTTATTTTTGTTAACAAGTACTACGGGGGAGGGGGATTTTTAAATTTTTAAGGGTTTTTTTACTATTTTAAAAACTTTTGGGGGTAAGTGTAATTTTACAGGGTACCCAGAACTGGAACCAGAACTGTTGTTACAGGTTCCGGTTCTGGGTACCTAGGAATCGAAACAGTTGGTTTAGGTTCTTTTAAAAAATGTAGGGTACCTGGAACCGAACACCCTTACTAAAAACTAGAGGTGTTCAAAAGAACCGATTGGAATCGGAATCGACGGGTACTCGAGGTTTGGTTCCGATTCTTACCCAAAACCAATCGTCAACGGGTAGGTTCCAGTTCCAATATTTAGGAACCAGAACCGGAACTGGGAATCGAGACTAATATAAAATAAATTTAAAGAGTATGGGTTAATAAAAACTTTTGTAGTAAAAGTAACGTGAATACATTTATATTTATAGTTCATAACATTTAAAGTGAGTTGGTTTGACTTTTGAGAATCTACCTTTACAAAGTAATGGAGTTTGTAATTTTGAATTTATAATTTGTAATTTTATTTTTGTTAACAAGTGCCAGGTGGGGGGTATTTGTAACCTTTTAAGGATTTTTTTGCTATTTTAAAAACTTTTGGGGGGTCATGTACTTTTATAGGATACCTAGAACCAGAACCGAAACCGTTGTTACAAGTTCTGGTTCTGAGTACCTAGGAACCGGAACCATCGGTTCTAGTTCTGGTTCCAAATTTCAAGGAACCATCGATTTCGGTTCTGGTTCCTTCAAAAAATGCAAGGTACCCGAAACCGAACACCCCTACTAAAAACAACAATCCAAAATGAGAAATTACATTTAGCCACCCAAAAGTTTGGGAAAGTAAAAGGGGGAGGGGTCTACTGCAGTTTTAGTCAAGTTACCCCCAAAGTTTTTGATAAAAATACCTCCCGAAACCAAAACGGCTTTGAAGCATCGATAGATTAAGAAGGTATAATTGTCTTTTCACATTTTTGTATTAAACTTAAACACAAAAGTCATCACTAACATCACTTAAGGTGTGTTTGGTTGGGGTAATCCCACATTACTGAGGTAATGTCATCTTATATTACTTAATCACTACCATTGGTTGTAAGTAATATAAAATTCTGATAATCTTCCAATTTTTTTTGGATAATAATGCCTTTATTTTGAAAACAGTTTATAAAACCTTGTCAACCATTAAAAAATTAAAAAGCAAAGAGACTACCAGCTTCCACCTTCATTATTGCCAAAAATACTCACCTTCTTCTTCAACATACTAACCCAAAACCTCATTTAAACACTAAAAATCCTTGGATTGGAATGAGAGTGGTTAAGCTTTCTATCATTGTGCTTCCGTTGAAGTTACTTCACGATTTTTTCAAGTGTTCATGCTTGGGTACGTTTATTGTACAAAGTTGACATTTTTCTTCATTAGTGATTTTGTTATTGTTGGAAAAACACATCGTAATATTATACTATTTTACTCTGTTGGAATGTGAACACTTTTTGGTAATTGATGAAGAAAAGGCAAACTAGAAGAAAAATAAATTTTAAGTTTTAGGCAAATTTCTAGTTTAGGAATTTGTAATTGAGAATATTTGTATTCTTTTTACTTGGAGTTTTATTAGGAAAGAAGAATTGGTTTCGAATTTTATTTAGAGTTAGAATAGGATAATGAATTAAATTAGAGGAGTCCTATAAGGATTAGAAATATGTATCCTAGTAAAAAAAGAATGTCCTATTTTACCTATAAATGGAGGGGTTATAGCTAATTCAAAGTTATGAGAGAGGGAATAAGAGAAAGAGAGAATGTGAGGATACAAGGGACGTAAGGGTACTACGGGTATCGAGTAAATACCAAGTGTTATTAAACACCATAGGAACAAGATGTCCGCCTAAGTAAAGGAACTAGGTTGATGATGTGATGAAACACTTGTATCGTATTCATATTATTATAATGAAAACCCTCTCATCCTTGGATGTAGGCGAGTTATGCCGAACCACGTAAAATATCATATGCATTTTTATGTTGTTATGTGTTCTTTTTATTTTATTGTTTTTTTTACTTATCCAATTTTCAACATGGTACCACGATAGATTTAGATTTCCAACATAGTATCAAAGCTTATTTTCTTAAGAGACTTACGAGAGAAGGGGCTTATGGAAGATGAAGCAAAAATTGCAAGGTGATGGTCTGCAAGAATGTCGGCAATAGGATCGACAAGAGAAAGCCATCAAGACTCCAACAAAGAGTGGAGAAAGAAGAGATGACTCTAACAGAAGATTGGAGAGAAGAAGTCAACACTAAGGGTATCGGAGAGAAGAAGCTAACACTGAGGGTGGTAGGCTGAGGAAGAAGAAGAAGACAATATTAAGGGTGGTAGGCTGAAGTTGTAGATGAAAGGAGGACTAAGAGAATGAAGAACAAGCTTAGAAGATGAATTGCCAAACAAGGTTCAAGGAGGAGTTGGAATGTGAACACCTTTTAGTAATTGATGAAGAAAAGGCAAGCAAGAAGAAAAAGAAATTTAAGTTCTAGGCAAATTTCTAGTTTAGAAATTTGTAATTGAGAATATTTGTTTTCCTTTTACTTTGAGTTTTATTAGGAAAGAAGAATTGGTTTCAGATTTTATTTAGAGTTAAAATAGGATAATGAATTAAATTAGAGGAGTCTTATTAGGATTAGAAATATGAATCCTAGTAAAAAAAAAGAATGTCCTATTTTACCTATAAATAGAGGGGTTAGAACCAATTCAAAGTTATGAGAGAGGGAATAAGAGAAACAGAGAATGTGGGGATACAAGGGGTTTTGATATAAGGGTACTACGGGTATCAAGTAAATTCTAAGGGGTATTAAACACCATACGAACAGGATGTCTGCCTAAATAAATGAACTAGGTTGATGGTGTGATGAAACACTTGTATCGTATTCATATTATTATAGTGAAAACCCTCTCATTTGTGGATGTAGGCGAGTTATGCCGAATCACGTAAAGTATCGTATGCCTTTTTATGTTGTTAAGTGTTGTTCTTATTTTAATGTTTTTTTTTTTTTTTCGATTTTCAACATGGTACCACAGCAAATTTAGATTTCCAACATACTCTTGCATGTTCTTTCTTGATTGTTAAATAAAACCCTAGTTTAGACAATATAATGAAAATGGGGTTTTTTATGGGCTTTCAAAAATTGTTATGAAATCATGTTTAATGTTAGAGAAGTAACGAATTTTACATTCATTGCTTAGTATTTTTCTTATTTTCTTTTGTCAAAGATGAAAACTTGAGATTGGTATTCTGATATCTACTAAAATCAAATGGTTGTGTAGAAGTATTGCAGTTATCTTACAGAATTTTTTTTTTTTTTTTTTTTGGATGATTGTAAATGCATGATGCATATGGTTATTAGCAAGGCCATGCATACAAATTTATTTACACATATATTGCTTTGTTCATGGTAATGTAGTAACTCCTCTATTCTTTTTTAGTGTTGTTTGTTATTGCGTAAAGTAGTTCATTGTTGAAATCTTGTTTATTTCGAACGTTGTGATTGCAAGGACAAGAGAAACACTTGTTCTCATTAATGAAAACAATTAGGGATATAACCTATTTATAGATAGTTTACAACAAATAGATAAATTATTTAATCCTAAACTTATGATAACAAATTTGATGCCTAATCTAATCCTATAATCTTATCTACACAATTTAATTTTTAATTATAAAACATTTGAACCTTTCAACACATTGTATTCTGGGAGCGCAGTGAAACATGAAAAGTATACAGTATATAAGTTAGAAGGGGTTAATTAGGTTTTACCTTATACGTTCATCACATATAAGAATGCAACAAAGTAAAGATTGACTCTTAGAATCATGAAAATGACTTTATTTAGGTGATAAAAGTACTCCATTTGTAATTAAAATGTAGTCATATTAAGACCATTAAAGAATTTATGAAATTATTCATAAAAAATCACATTCTATACTTTTCTTACAAATGTTGCATGTTTGGAATGAATTTTGAGATGGTGTAAGTTGATATTAGGGTGTGATTTATTGATTAGGGATGATTTTGTTTCTTTTATGATGTTTTGGGGTCAAATTGTCATTTACATTTGGGGCTAATTTTGTCATTTTTTATTTGTGCAGGGACTAAACTAACGTTGGCCATCCTCATTATAGAAGGATAGTGAGAGATCGTTCAAAATGAGCAACCGCTTACCCCCAAACCCTAGCTCCACCGTTGGCGACCTTGCATCTTACTTTTTAGGCGACTCTCTACCTTCCCTCATCATTGGTGACGTCATTTTCCCCTTCCTTAGCTTTGCAACATCTCATCTTCTCATTGTCGATGATGTTTTGCATTCCAGTGGCTTTCCTCTATTTTCCCGATGACAATCCACCTCCTTGGCTACTGATTTTTTCATCTCGTCATCTAGAGCCAAAGAAAAATTGGAATTGGTTCACTCAGATTTATGTGGACCGATAAAGACATCGTCTCTAAATGGGAGTTGATACTTCCTATTGTTTATTGATGATGCAACGAGGATGACATGGATATACTTCTT